AAGATTATTCTTGCTCGCATATCAAGGCTGGATGAAGCCCAACCTGTAACACATACTGGAATTCGCCAGGGATTCAGCTACATGGATCACATCCAGACAGTTTCGAGGATTATTGAAGTTTGCCGAGAGTACCGCCTGCCCCTCGTTCTAACCTTCGTTGACTATGAGAAAGCGTTTGACAGTGACGAGACTAATGCCATACTGTCAGCGCTCGACAACCACGTTGTGGAAATCTTTCGTGAGGACATTGGCCGACTGCTACAAGGACTGCTCTACAAAGGTACAGCAGGCCATCTAAGTATCTAAGTAAGTTTGATTGACTACGCACTTACAACAAAAAAGTTTAGAAGGCCTCAGAGGCTCATGAAATTGTCGTGTTGCAAGGCGACATATATTTTTATTATACAACATATGTGCTTCTGTGAAGCCCCTTCAGCTGGCTACCTTACCAAAAATACATTTGATAGCTGAAAAAAATTAGAACATTAAGAAGTTTCTTACCTTTGCGTCGATTCCTCTCAGAATACTTCTTTGATTTGAAATCAGCGGCGGATGAAGCTATCGCAGATCGGCTCGACGCTGTTGCTGCCCCCAAAGCTGCCAGTAACCTCTCTGATGGCTTTTTAACTGGACGAGATGCTTGACCTAAGATTATTGTACTTAATTAATACATTGAACGTTTTTGAACCCAAACCTTCTCTTCTCCTCTGTCGCTCTGCGGGATCACGTTTTGGTGGGGGAATTTTCTTCAGAGGAGCATCAAGACCCATTGTTCCCTTAACCTCGCTATCATCGCGTCCCTTAAGAGTGTCTGCTTTTTCTCCTAAACACGAGATTGTTAACAACTTGAGTGATGATAACTCAAAACAAACCTCCTTCCTCCTTATCTCCGCTGATTTCTGGTTTTTTTCCCCGTTCTCTTCTGAGTTTCAGCGACTGCTTATCAAACTTTCCGGGCGGTGCTTTTTTCTCCCTCGAATCACTAGCTGGTACTTTCTTAGCATTCGCAAAAAGTCGCGCAAGGTGATCCGCAGCATCTTCATCTTCTTT